GTGTGACGTTAGCGAGGCAGTATCTGAGAGAGGGGAGGTGGATGTGGGGCTCCAGGCTTGCCAGGCCGGGGATGGGGAAGGAAGGAAGGGGCAGGGGCTTGGCTTGGGTCTGAGGCCTTTTGTGCCACGTGGCCAGGGTCGGAGAAGGCTGTGCCAGGCCTCACCGCTGTCAATGTCTTTGCAGTGCTGTTTGTGTCTGTGGAGGAGAGCAAGGAGCCAGTCTCCTCCTTAGGTCACTGAGGGCTGAGGTAGTTTTCTGTTTGTCTGATGCTCTCACCGCAGCCCCTTGGGGCTTGCCACACGTCCCCTTCCAGCCGGTACAAAGTACCTCTGTATTCCTTGCCTTCTCCCAGCCCAGGTGTGAAAAAAGAGGCCAAGGCTCTTTTAGGGCTAGAGGTGGGTATTGTCTAATTTCTCCAGTTGACTAGACCTGTTGGTCCTTTCCTCCACCCTAACCTACCCGAAGGAAGCTCACCAGCTCCCTAGTCCCAAACAAGCTACTTTGCTTTAGCCGGTTGTGCCGGACTCTGAAAATGCCTCAGGCTCTGAGGTGCCTTTGTATGTGGGAAGCTATGGGGAGCTGCACTGGGGCAGGGGCTCAAGGCTGCCCTTGCACAGGCAGCCCCACCTCTACAGCCTGGTGGAGACTGCTGGTGGGGTATCCTGGGCTGTCATGCAGTGGGCCTGTCATCCCTGAGAGTTTTGACCCAGCAGGTCTAGCCTGTCTTTTGCTGGATGTAGGATGTCTTTTGGTGAGTGTCAGCAATGTGGCCAGCACCTCTGCACCCTACAGGGACTGACTTGCCGGAGAGGTGATGTTCCTCAGGCAGTGGTCCTGGGGGATTCGCTGCACTTCCAGCTGCTTGGTTCTGAGGATGGTTTTCTTCTCCAGTATCACTGTCTATCCCAGAGGCAGGCTGTTCTTTGCGCACATTCCTCCTCTCCTGATCTAATAGGCAGCCCTCGTGTCTTCCAGAAAAGCTATTGCCAAATCCAGCCTCCAGCACATGGTAGCCCAGCCAAACCCTGCGCTAGCCCTGAGGAGCGATTCAGAGAGGCAGATACGCAGCACTGTGGACTGGAGCGTAAGTTGCTTTGCATTTTGCTGGGCATGAGGTAGGATGGGCTTTGAGACAAGAAGCAGCAGGCTCTTCCCAGGCCAGGGCTTCCCAGGTGACTTTGGCTTTGACACATTTGTGGCCTCCGCTGGTGCCAGCATCTGTGTTGCTGGCAGCACCCCTTGATGCTGCGAAGAGAGGCTATGCGGGCACAGGCAGTTCCCTGGGAGGTTGCACAGCTACTTAACTTCCAGTTCTTCTGCTCTTGGCAGTGGAAGTCTTCTGGCAAATGGAGTCCCTGGGACACAGGGCTCTCCTTGGCATATGGGTGCCAGCCTCCGCCCCAACCCTCCTCCTGCAAAGGCAAAGGAAGGGTGCAGGTCAAAACCTGCCTGAAGTCAAGGAACAGAGGCTGTTTCAGGAGAGACCCCAGCATTGAATTTGCCGAGGTGCCTCTTCTCAGGGGGAATAGAGGCAGCCCCACTGAATGGGACACAGCTAGGCTGTAGGTTTTTCCATAGGATCTGAGAGAGAGGAGAGTTGGTTTCCTGGGGGCCTCTCATTTCCAACAGGGTGGGCTGTGGCAGCAGCTTTGTAAGGTTTCCTCTCTGCAGGTGTTTGCCCTGGTGATTCTGTGCATCTTGTCTCCCTGCCTACATCTAGCCCCCCCAACCCCCACATCAAGTTGTCTTGTCCCTAGCACAAAGCATTTTAGGAGATCAGATGATCACTTATGGGTGCTCTCAGAGAAACACAGCATTGTCTTGTGCCTTTCAGGAGACTGCAGTCTATGGGGAGCACATCTGGTTTGAGACCAATGCCTCTGGGGATTTCTGCTATGTTGGGGAGCAAAACTGTATGGCAAAGCTGCTGGTAAGTCACCTGGGGTCACGCGAGTCCCCTGACAGGATCCACGGATGCGGGCTGTGCTGCCACCTGGCGGAGAGACTGCAAAAGCACTGCTACTGCCTGGTGCTGGGGAAAGCATAGGGGGGCTCGGGGAGCTAGCAAGGGGGAGGGACAGTGTGCTCTTTCTACCTATGTGTAGTGGAGGGCCTCACCCCTGGTCTGAGCCAGGGAAGCCATTCACTGTGTAACAGGAACCTGACACAAGGTTGCCAGCAGGCCGGAGGGGATGTTCCAGGGAGAGGCTTTGAGATCTCATGCGCTCAGAGGGAGAATCTGAATCCGCCTTCTCTGGAAAGACCTTTCAGGAGAGGGGAAAAATGAGCAATGGAGACTCAGCCCTAACATTGCCTGACCCCACCTGCAGGACTGCCCCGGGCAGATTTCATGGGGATGCTGCAGCAAGGGAGAGCAGGGCTGTCCCTACTTGCAGGCTGGCTCCTACCTGAGGGGTTGGACACCAAGCCCTGATGCTGTCCT